AGCCAAACAGCCAAATATTTTTAAATATTGCATATTTGGTTTTCTTTTCTTCACGCCTTCGTATGGAGTAAAGTCTCTCACGGCCTTAGTGGGAATTCTATTAAGCAAGTAAACTGCATGGCGTACTGCCTCCCCCACATTGGATCTGGTATGTTCATGCTTTTCAACAACGACCGTGTCATCTCGACTACTGTTCTGTTTATCCTCTCCACAACACCGTTTTGTTGCGGGGTATACGGTGTTGTGGTTTGCCTTTGGATTCCTTCTTCCTGGCAGAAGTTGATTAAGGCTTGTGAGTTGAACTCGCATCCCCGATCTGTCCTTAGTATTTTTCACCTTATGCTCGGTTTCCATCTCAACTTGAGCTTTAAAGATCTTGAACTTTGCTAATGCTTCATCTTTTGATCTGAGTAGATAAACCCACATATATCTACACCAATCATCAACAATCAATAAAAAATATTTGTTACCTCCCATTGATTATGGTGTTATTGGCCCACAGAGATCAGCGTGCACGAGTTCCAACGGTTTGGAGGCTCGCCACTGAGCTTCATTGGGGAAGCTTTGCCTTGTTTGTTTTGCAACAACACACCCACTGTACAGCTGTTTGGGGTGCGAGACACAAGGCATTCTGGTCACCATCCTTTTCTTTCCCATTATTTCTAAAGTGTGGAAGTTAGCATGTCCCAAGCGAGCATGCCAAATCCATGCGTCATCAACCAAAGAAGCTGCCAAGCATGTTGATTTTACAACCTGTAGTGCGATTTTATACAACCTGTTCGCCGACCATTGGACCTTCAACACAAGCTTCCCTTGCTCATTATAGACCCATATGTGTTCATTATGTAACAAGGCATCATAACCCACTTCAGTTAACTGACCCAGGCTAAGGATGTTGCTAGTTAAAGCCGGGATAAAATACACATCCGAGTTCACTAACTGGTCGCCATTTTTACATTAGAACAATAGTCTACCTTTTCCTTTAATTTCAACCGTAGAGCCATCACCGAACTGAAACCGACCCGTGACGCTTTCATTTAATTCTGCAAAGAAATTTTCTTTCCCCGGTCATGTGATTACTTGCCCCGTTGTCGAAGTATCACATGTCATGATTGTTATCGTTCCGACTTTCATGCAGTTTAGGGAACACTTTTTCCTCATTCAACATTACCATTGATGGTATGTCCTCTCCTTCAACACACAACATGAGAGTTGGTTCATCCTCCATTCCCTTCGTCAGATTCACTTCTTGTTCTTGTTTCTTCTTGTTCGGGCATTCCGATGCGTAGTGTCCGTATTGTTGACACTCAAAGCACCTTATGTGACTTTTGTCACGTGGATTTTGATTAGATCTTCCACCTTATTGAAACGATTTCCTATCATGTTGATCGCCCCGACCACGACCTGTCCCACGACCCCCTCGTATGCTCCCTCTACCGCCTCTATCACCGTTCCAGCCTCTACCCCGACCACTAGGTGCCTTGTTTTTCTGTTTACTCATTGTTTGACCCTCCGTCTTTGTGAGCAACAATGAATTTTCACCCGTCGATCCTCCTTGTCGAAGCTTCAACCTGTCTTCGTAGGCTTTCAGCCGACCTATTGCTTCCTCAAAAGGCATTTCTTCTACATCTGAATATTGCTCCATGGAAGCAATAAGATGAATGTATTTCTCTGTTACTGTATCAAAGAGTTTTCGAACCAATTCTTTATCATCCAATGTTGAACCGACACTATTATACTTTGAGATCATCCCGGATAACTTCCCCGCATACTCGTCAATAGACTCACCGTCCTTCATCTAAAGCACCTCAAACTCACTCTTTAACGTGTGTAACCTAGCCTTCTGAACTCGTTCTGCTCCAACGAACCGAGTTTTCAGTGACTCCCACACTTCACGGGCTGTTTTCTTTTTAGCCACCTGCATCAGAATATCTTCCAGTATTGCTTGGAAGATGAACGCACGAGCCAATTTGCTTTTCTTCTCATCTACAACCACATCTGTTGCCGGCTCGATGGATTCCCATAACCCTTGTGCATCCATTATGGCTTCCATCTTAATGGCCCATGTCGTATAATTCGTAGAACGGTAGAAGTGAGAACCAGGCACTGAAAGGTAACTAGGTTTTCTTTGGGAGGGTTTGAGGTGTTTGTTACGAGAGACATTTCTGAGGATCGAATGATTTTTGGCATGTACAATTAAACACCAGGCTTGTGCTGTGATACCAAGTGATGGATTCAAAGCCTTAAAACTGAAATGGTGGTAACAAAGAGGATGAGTCACTATTGTAATGCTTCACAACCAAAGCTTTATTGAATACTTCTTGACTGGAAAAAACACTTGAACAAAAAACAGAACAGAACTAAAATGGAGCTACGTGAAAGGCTGTTGTAACAGGCCTATTTATTCTTACAATAAAGTAAATAAAATGCTGAAAAATTGGTCCACCACCCTTGTATCATGGATAACTGTCGACTGTTACCCATTCATACTCAAGCTAATAACTCATCAACATTAATCAACATTAAAACCAACATTAAAACCAACATTAATCAACACAAGGTAGATTTTAATAAAGCCTTCGATACAGTAAACTGCTAGTATCTAGACTCTATCTTACTACAAATTGAGTACAAACCAAAGTGACGTATGTAGAGAAAATGAAGTTTACAAATGGCCAAGGCTTCAATCCTCATCAATGGGTCACCAACAGACGAATTTACAATGGGTCAGGGGGTTAGGCAAAGTGACCCTATGTCACCTTTTCTCCTCATAATCGCAAGGGAGGGTTTAAACATTGCAGTGAAGACTGCCTGTGACAAGAGCATGTTCAAGGGTATCAAAATTCCCCATGAAGATACTACTCTCTCTCATCTTTTCTACGCGGACGATGCACTATTCATGGGGGAGTGGAGTTTGGACAATATAAAAAACTTAGCACGAATCCTTTAATGTTTCCAAGTGGCATCGGGTCTCAAGGTAAATTTCCAAAAATGAAGAGTATTTGGCATAGGGGTAGATCGGCAAGAAGTATCCAGGTGGGCTGCTCCCCTTGGATGTGAGTCTGCAAAACTCTCTTTTACATACCTTGGTGTCCCTATGGGGGCAAATATGAAGCTGAAAAAAAACTGGCATCCCATGATCGATAGATTCATATCAAAATTATCTGTTTGGAAATCACAAACCTTATCGTTTGGTGGTCGAGTGACACTTGCACAAGCAGTACTAGGTAACTTACCCACATACTTCTTCTCTATCTTTGTTGCCCCGGCTGGGGTTATTGAAAGCTTAGAAAAGATTAGAAGAAGATTTGTATGGGGAGGGAACGAAAACAAAAATAAAATTAGTTGGGTGTCATGGGAAAAGGTTGTGGCGCCAAAGACTTCAGGTGGGTTTGGATTGGGTTCATTAAAAGCTCTAAACCTAGCATAATTCCCAAGTGGTGGTGGAGAGTGAGAACTGATACCAGATCGCCATGGTGCCTAGCCATCAGGGGCATCCATATTCTGAAAGATAAACCGGTAGATTATATCTCAAGAAAGATAATTTCGGGTGCCTGGAACAATATTGCAGGGGTGACACGACTGCTACACAAAAACGGTGGAAACATGAAAGAGGTATTGATCAAACAGGTAGAGAGGGGAGATGAATCTCTATTTTGGTGGGACAAATGGATCACCACAGAACCATTAAAAGATATTTTTCATGGTCTGTACCAATTAGAAAGTAAGAAACGATGCAAGGTGGAAGAGGGAGTTCAAATTGGTTGCCTAACTTGGAGTTGGAAATCGTCTCCTAATCGCCCTTCTCAGGTCAGTAATCTGAAGTGTATATCCTCCCTCATTGAAGCCTTCCAACCTACATCGAGGCAAGATCGTTGGATTTGTGGGATTTCTGGCGATGGCAAGTTCCACATGGATGAGTTAAGACATAAGATTGACAGACCATTGAATGATCCACCGGAGAGAATCACGACTTGGATGCATGATGTACCACTCAAAGTCATGTGCTTTATATGGCGTGCCAACCTGGGTCCTATACCTAGTGCAGTTGCATTAAAAGATAGGGGTGTAGCCATCAACAATACTATATGGCGAGTTCCGCACACAAGAAGATGAATGCGCTAACCATATATTATTTTGTTGCTCTTTGCAATTGATGTATGGGAATGGATCTCTAAATGGTATCAAATCCCTGTAAAACAATTTGGTAACGTGGGTGAACTGATGGAGTTTGTGCATAATTGGGGATACTGTATGAAGCGGAGAAAATCATTGCTTAGCATCCTTTATGGCTCGATATGGTGGATCTGAAAGGCGAGGTGTGACCGGTTGTTTAAGAGCTTACGTATTACTCCAACCAAGGTGGCAGACAACATAAAATCTCTTGTTTTCTCCTGGATCAAGTATAGGCGAGTTAGGTGCTCTCTTAATCGGATAGATTGGTGTGTTTATCCATTTTCTAATTATAAAATCTAAATGTTGTACTAAAACTATGTATGCTCTTTCTTCCCCTCGACTAGCTACTTGCTAGTGGGGGTTGCAGTATTTTAATAAAATCATTTGCCGGTTCTTCAAAAAAAAAAAAAAAAATTCTTATCGTTTCTTTTTAATCTTTTTGAAATATGTGAACTTAAATAATTATCTATAAACTTTGAAGTAAGCCATAAATAAAAGAGGGGCAACAGTAAGTAAATAAAAATGTACATGAGTGAAGTCGTTATTTATACCCTTCCTGTCACATATTTCCATACCACTGTTATAGTGCTATTCATCATTTACTCTGTAAACAATAAACCCTAATTCCGTTAAAGACATTTCCTTTCTAAAAATGGAGACGATGACATCAATGATGGAGCTCGACAAGCTCCCAGACCCATTCTCTCTCCCTTTCCAACACCTTTCTTGTTCACCAAACAGAGTATTCTCCGGCGAAAGCTATACCAACAACCACCCCCACAACACCACCGCTGCAACTACAACCATCCTTTTTCAGTCACTCGATGCCACCGCCATCTCCATCCAAGACCTCATGTAAGCCGGTTCCAGTGGATGCGATGAGGGAGATGATATTCCAGATGGCGGCGTTGCAGCCAGTTCAGATTGACCCGGAATCAGTGAAGCCACCGAAGAGACGAAACGTGAAGATATCGAAGGACCCACAAAGTGTAGCGGCGAGGCACCGGAGAGAGAGGATTAGTGAGCGGATCCGGATACTTCAGAGATTAGTTCCCGGTGGTACAAAGATGGACACGGCGTCGATGTTGGAAGAGGCTGTCCATTACATGAAATTCTTGAAAAAACAAGTGCAGTCTTTTGAACAGGCGGCTGCTGGTGGTAGTATGGCGGCGATGGTAAAGACAGAAGCTGACGTCGGTGGTTTGCTGCTACACAGGCGGCATGAATCGTGGTGGTGATCGATACGGTGATAGTATTTACTCGAATTATCGGAGTATCGGATGGCAGTTTGATGATCATTTGATCGATGATATATTTTATAGAATGTAAAGATCTATGATTTTAATGCTGTTAATTGGATTGTTGTTTAATCGGTGGGAATTTGAATTCATGAAACCATTTACTAATGTTACAAATAAGTTAACTTTTGTTTTAGATGGAGGATAGCCTCTTTTGGTTAATAAAATTATAATTTAAAGGGAATCATGTTAGAATATACAAACTAGTGACGTACATGTTAAACGATCGATTGTTTATTATTTATCTTGGTTTTTTATTATTAATATAAAAAGTATCTTAAAACAAGTTTTCATCTAAAATACATTAAAACCTCATAACGAACTTAGAAAATTATTATTATTATTATTATTATTATTATTATTGGTTTTTTTAATAAAAGTCTAATAGTTGATGAGTTAAATTTAAATCGGATTGTTGTGGGTTGTTCAAATAATATGATTTATAACTTTTTTTATATAGTTTAGCAATAGCTAACTTGTTGCAATTTTTTAATTTTTGCTTTTTTTGAACTTGATTTTTCTTAAAAAAAATTTCAGTGCTAAATCAAAATATTGATATAGGAATGACTCTCTAGTTCATTGATAAATATAAAGGATAATTATAAAAATAACAGTGGTGCATAATAGATATTATAAAATGACCACTATATTATAAAATACTATATTTTAATAGATATCATAAACAACCATAAAATTTGAAAAAGGATATAAGTAAAAAGAAAAGATAAAAGGATATTTAATATTTGAAATTGTGTGACATTTAAAACTTATATAGATTTTCGAGCTCAATTACTATATATAAGAAAAAGACCTACTCTTTTTTTTTTCTTTTTCACACTTCAACTAGAAAATGTATGATGTCGACACATCCAATAGTCGTTTACAACAAAAGAGAAAGCAAAATAATCTTATCCCTTAAATTCCTAGCATGTGAAACTGAGTTTGATGATAATTATAATAAGTTAATCTAAATAAAAAATAAATAAATATAATATCCATAAAATCACTAGAAAAAAAAATAACCGAGTTGATTCGATTTGATCTTAAAAAAACGAGAATTGATGAAAAACATCATGTCATAACAAAAGTCACAAATAAGAGTGTCAAAAAGACTTGTGGAACCTCGAACCCGTGGGCTCTAATCCCATATGGATGATATTTGTTTAAAAAATCGGGGGCGGGGGCGGAGGGTGGGGTAGTCCCGTCCCGAACCCCCAATGAGGACCCCGTTAATATATATATATATATATATATATATATATATATATATATATATATATATATATATATATATGGAGTGGTTCAAATGAGAACCACAAAAGATTAAAAACCCTAAGAACCTCCATTAGTTAGTAAATATTTACATGATAATCTTATTAAACATGTGAAAATCCAGATCTTTTTTTTTCTCTTTTTGATACAAAAAGGGCAAAATTGTAATTTTTGCAGTATAATATTTTCATTCTTATATGCTCTCATATTTGAACACAAAATTTATATAAAATACAAGTTTATACAGTTCATTTATAGTTTAATTCATAAAATTCACAACTTAATACAAACCATTTTACAATAATTCACAAACTCAAAGAAATCAAATATTCAAACTTTACTACTACCACCACCACACGCTGCTACCAACCACCTGTATCAGCATCGCAACCATCATTTTTTTTCTAAATCAGAACTGTAAATAAAGTCATGCATTAATAACTTAAATACTACATTCACAGTCTAATAAAACTATTTATTTCACTCATTTTGAATTTAATGCAAAACTATTATAAAAACTAATACATTCTTACATACTTATACAACACAAAAAATAAATATATTCAGAAGAAAATTAACAAAAAAAATTATACATAAATCATCCATATATTAACACAAATTATAAAAAATTCACAGCAAAATACAGTCAATTCACAGTTTAAACAGCAAATTCTCAGTTTAATGCATTTAATTCAAACTTGTAAAACACAAAAATCAAAGTTTATTACTCAAAATTCACTGTTTAATATAGTCAACTCACAACTTAAATAGAAAATTTACAGCTTAATGCAGTTAATTCAAAATTTAAAACACAAAAATCATAGTTTAATACATAAAAGTCACAGGTTATTACAATAAATTCATAGTTTAATACACAAAAAATATAAATTCATAGCTATATTAGCAACTTAAAACTTTTAATACAATCAAATCATAGTTTAATAGACAAAATTCATAGTTTAATACAATAAATTCACAATTTAATACAAAAAATATATATTCACATCCATATTTTCAAATTAAAACATACATTTTACGTTAATATATAGAGGCATTTCTACGTATTAAATTGTGAAAAATTATAAAATAATCACAGCTTAATACAATGAATTAATAATTTAATACACAAAATTCACAGCTTAATATAGTCAATTCACAGTCTAAATAGAAAATTCACAGTTTAATGTAGTTAATTTACAGTTTAAAACAAAAAAATTACAGTTTAGTACACATAATTCAAAGTTTAATACACAAAAAGTATGTATCCACAACCATATTTTCAACCTCACACTCTTAATATAATCAATTCATAGTTTAATACACAAAAATTCATATCACAATACAAATAACTTCATAGTTTAATACACATAATTCACAGCTTAATCTGTCAATTTACAATTCAAACAGAAAATTCACAATTTAATGCAGTTAATTTGTAGTTTAAAAGAAAATTCAGAGCTTAATGCAGTCAATTCACATTTTAAAAAACAAAAATCACAGCTTAGTACACTAAATTCACATTTTAATACATAAAAAGTAGTATTCACATCTATATTATCAACTTAAAACTCTAATTACAATTAATACACAATTTAATATAGAAAATTACAGACTAGTATAATAAATTCAAAGTTTAATTCAAAAAAATTATACATTCACAACTTAATAGCAGTTAAAACTATGATTAACAAAATTATACGACAAATGAGAGATTAAAACATTAAAATCACACTTTAACAGAAAAAAACCATATCATAGAGATCTACAACAGATGTAAGTAGAAAAACAAGTAGAAAATAAAACTTAAAGAAGATTTATCTATAAAAATCAACATACCTGATTTGGTTTAAAGATTTATCTTCAAAAATCAGATCTGATGCAAGCCAACCTTAAATGCACCAGATACACCAGATCCATACATGAAATGCATCGTACACATCAGATTTGATGCAGATCTGGTGTTAGGTAGTAGATCTGGCGTTCGGAACTTCGTTAATCTCGAGATCTGGTGTGCCGATCGTATGAGAAAGAAAGGATGGTTCATCGGTGGTGGTTAGTCTGATCTGAAAATGAAAAAACAAATCAGATCTAGTGAGATCTGATACAGATCTGGTGGTTCTATGGAGATCAGAGAGAAAACGAGTTGGATGCGGTTGAAGATCTGGCGGAGTAGAGGCAGAGGATGACGAATGATGTAGCGGCGGTAGTTGTTGACGACAGATCTGAAGGTTTCCGGTGAAGATCCGACCATATCTTATCTGAATAGATCAGACGCAGTAGTGCTTTGTCGGTGGTGGCCTTCGGTGATGGAGCTTTTCACTCCAAATCTGATATCAGTGGCTGTGGACGGTGGATCTGAAGTGAAAACCTTGGCTACTCGACATTCCGGCGACGAAAGGCGGTAGATGACGCCGACAATAGGCGGCAGGTGGTTGAGGTCGGTGGCTGAGCTGGTGTTGGGTTTTGTGTTGTCGGGAGAGTTTGAGAGGGTTTGGAAAAGTTTTATTGCAAAACATATTCGAAAGAATAGACCGAAATAAGTGGTTCCTACGGTTCTTAACCTTTAGAGGTTCTCATTTGAACCTTTACCTATATATATGTATATATATATATATATATATATAGAGAGAGAGAGAGAGAGAGAGAGAGAAAGAGGGAGAGAGAGAGAGAGAGAGAGGTAGGTTCCGTTGAGATTAAAAATAAAATAGAGATCTTAAGATTCAACCTCAGCCACGTGTTTCACATCTGCCGCTCTAACCCTTCGGTGTACCGGTACGACAGGCCTGGCATAATCATAAATGATTATACAGCACCGCTCGTTCCTTTCTCGTCCGCCACCATCCCCACTACCATAACCGTCATTGCTACCACCATTACCACCACCTCTGACACCAGCCGACCCCACCACTGTCACCTCCGTTAGTTATACCACCGCCACCCTCTGTCACTGTCACACCCCCAAACCAAGGATGGCAGAAACGTCCGGGGGTGGAGGACTTCATGTATAGTATCATAACAACAATTGTAATAGTAATTGAAGCAAACACAACCAACATATATATAATTGAAAAAGTGACATCATTGTATGAATTACATGTTTACGAATCAATTACAATATGTTGACAAAATATGAAATAGTAGACGCCTTAGCGCCCCATCCTCAAAAGCACTTGGTTACCTGTTTAATGATTTCCTGAGAATACAAGTTGTTTGAAAAAGTGTCAACACAAAGGTTGGTGAGTTCATAAGCTTTTGTTTGGTATTATTAAAAGCCTTTCGTTTGTAAAAGTAGTATTTGTGTTAGAAAATCCAATATTTTCCTTAATGTGTAAATGTAGTCTTAAAACCCAAAGACCGAAATGTACAAGTAATTTGTCATATTTATAGTAAAACAATGCAAGTTTAAATCGACATAAACTCGTTAATTTTAATGAAGTTCCCGTAAATTCCAATGTTTATTAATACTTTATGTGAGTTTATTATAACCATACTATGACCAAGGTTGCCTAAAACGACGTTCTTCAGGCGTCGGAAATGTTATGACATTTGTCACCCCAGACCTATCGGTCTAACTGTTGCATGCAGTTTAGGTGTGGGTTTGTCAAACCCAATATAGATCTATACACAACTATCACGCTCTCCCTCAAGGAGACTCTGGTTACAATACA